TAGAACTCTGGGTATAAATTTATACTTTAACAGCTGATCTTTTGAAGTATAAATGCATTCAGAGGAGGATTGTATGATAGGGTTATTTGTAGTGTTTATTTGTGCTAGTAACTTGAGTCATCAAATTGCCTTCTTTGAAAATCATCCCACGTTCAGATACAGAAGAACAAAACACAATAAAATACTGATGGCTAAACTAATGGAGATCTTGCCAGCCATGAAAAGAAAACATGACTGAATAAACCAGAAGAACTAGTTTGGAGTACTCAGTGCCAGAGGAGTGGGGAGGGAGAAAATATGAGTAAAAACAAAGAAGGAAAAAGACCTTTAGAAAGAATTCTGGAAAGGAAGACGGTGCAGAACAATTGGTCAAAGTGTATTGTCCTAGTCAGTTCCCCTCCTTTTCGACAGACACAAAAAGGACACACCTAACCATCAACTGTTGAAATTGTCTGTTCCCAGCAATAATAAAGCAAAAAAACAAAGATACACTATCCAATGTATTGGCACATAAGATAAGCATAATTGAGTCAGAGTATCATAGCATTATTAGAGAAGGAAAAGACCATGTCTACACACAAAAGCAGATAATTTCATATAAATTAAATTTAAAAGAAATGTGAATATTCTTTCTTTTTAAAGTAAAGCATCATAAATGACAAAAAAGGTCAGAAAAATTGTGACTGGGAGATTTTAAGCATGTCAAGTCTTGACAATTTAAACCATTAAGTTAATGGAATTTTAATAAAATCATAAAAGGTGAACTTTGCAGTAAGTAACATTAGTTTAAATAACCGCATATTTAGAGACAATGAAGGTACAAAATCTGTTTGAAACTAAATTTAACCAAAAATTTAGCTGGACAAACAAAGATATGCTTAGCAGTAGGTTAATGGAGACTAAATCTGAGGAGAATAATGCATTTATAGGAAATAAGTAAATTATTTTTTATAACCTGGGCATAACAAAGAATATAATTTCAAAAGAAGAAAAACAGAATATAAATAACTATATATAAATACAGACATACCATTTTTATATTTACTTATGTATTTTTCTGGAAAATATATATAGGAACACGAAGCATAAATTTCATAAGAAATCAAATGCAGCACATACATGAATCAAAAGAAGGAGGAAAGTAAATCATTAAGAATATAAGAATTTAGGAACTTGGCCACAGCTCAGTGGAATAAGTGCTTGCCTGGCAAGTGCAAGGTCCTGAGATCAATCCCTAGTATTACAAAAAAAGAAAAGAAGAAGAATACAAGAATTTAACATGTGAAAATGGCCACTTCTCAGTGTGCTAATGGCTATCATACAGAACAATAAAAGGTTATGCCTACAAAAGAAACATGGTTCTGTCTTCATATATAGTAACATGGAAGAGGAAAGAGGAACAATGCCATTTCCCATGGTGCTCAAGTTGTCAGGATGAGGGTTGTTAAGATTCTATGGTTCAGATAAAGTTCTGGGAAGGTACCTGGGGCACAGCCCTCCCCCAAAATACACGCACCACCTGTCTTGGGTTCCCAGGGAGCTGAGGATCCCCAAGTCAACTAGAGTTTCCTGGGAAAGGAAGGTGCCTCCAGAGGGACATCACGGACAGGAAGCGCAGAGAGCACACAGGGTCTACGCACATGAGGGGGCCACAGTGTGTCTCACAGTAGCATAAGAATGCAGTGTGCAGCCGGTAGTGCGGGGCTCACTGATAACCCACTTGGGCAAGGAAGGCAAACACAACACTGTTGTCCATCGTGTTCAAAAGGAGCTAGCAGCATATGCGAGGGATCAAGCCTGGCACAGGAAAGTATGGAAGAACTGGGAAACTGCAAAGGAGGCTGTTTTAGGAATCAGAGCATGACAGAGGGCATCCTAAGCCACCTACAAACAACCAGAGTCAGTCAGGAAACATGAAGCTTCCAGGTAAAAAGGAGGGATGAACAAAGTGGGGAAGAACAGAACAGACTTGGAGGAGGGTAGGCAGCAAGAGAAGAGGCAGGGGCGCTCTTTGCAGAGCTCTGCTGGGCTCTGCTGCAGCACCCTTCTGCATTTGGGACCTGATAGTGTCCTCTAGAAGGGAGGTTGGATCAAATTGTGCCCACTGCTACTCACCTTGTAGCTGGCGGTGCCAAGGCACAGGCAGAGATTGATTGGTGAGGGTGTGCTGACCCATGGGTGAGGCTTGAAAGGAATCAGCTGGTGGGGGGATCTCCACTGAGAGTGACAAATAGGGCTCCAGCAAGCATGCGGGGCTTGAGACTGTATGAGCCCACAGGGAAGCTAGGTGTCTGAACTTCACATCACTTACAGGGGGAGGGTGGAAGCGTTTCTTCAAACTACAGGATTCCCCAGGGGAGGAGGCAGGCTGTGGAGGGTACCCAGTTACTGTAGAAGCCAGTACTTTCAGGGACCAAATGGGAAGGAGCTGAAGAGATAAACAGGAAGGAAAGCCAAGGCCTTCCGTGCATCTGGAAAGCAATCTGGGGCCTGAGCTGTGGACTTGTAGAAGACAGCTCAGCCTGGGGCAGCACCCTCAAGGCAGGGTCACTCCTCACAGAATGTGACAAGCCTGGCACGCATGACCTTGTCCAGCGCTTGCCATGGGAAACTCAGAAAAGGGTGCTGGTGAGTCTGGAGGTTGTGGTACAGGGCTCTTGTCAATCTCCAGAGCACTGCCTGTAGGATCGGTGCAACACGTGCTCCTGGCAGGGCTGAGTGCCTCTTGGGGCTTCAGCAGGGCCTGCGTGGCAGGAATGATTCCCACTCTCCTCCCTATGCTTCCTGCACAGGCAGATCCCACAGAGGACGGGGCTCCTGCCTGCCATCACCACAGACAGTCACAGGATGGGGCCACTGTTGTCCAGAGGACAGTGCTAGCACGTGGAAAGGAGGATTTTGACTTGGGCCAAGACCATGCAGTGGAGACACCTCAATGCTGGCAGGCTTCCCTGCTCAGGAGATGGGCAGGAAACCTCGGAAACCCTGCCTGAGTTAGAGCCAGCTGTGGCTGCCTTGAAGTGTCGAGTGCCCCAGAGATGCCTGAGAACTGTAGACAAACAGGAAATTGGAATTCAGCAGTGTGCAAGGGAGTGTGGTGGTGCATGCTCATGTGGGTCACAAGCTAGGAGGCAGGAGGGCGGCCCCTGCCTCTGTGCTCAGATGAGAAGAGGCTGAGCAATGAGGACTCATAGGAGACAGCACTGGCAAGGCAGGCTGGACCAGGAAAGCAGCATGCAGGGACTGTCTGCAGAGGAATCTTGAAAACCAGTCACACTGTGGTTCACGGAGAGAAACGGGTGTTTATTCCCTTTGGCAGCTGGGACGAAACACGACAGGGCCCCAGAGCCAGCCAAGTTCATCCAGCAGGTTGAGCCTTGAGTGGCTGTGTTATGACAGTGACCACAGGTCATTTGCTGGACCACCCAGCCCTCCGAACAGATAGGAAAATACAGTGCCCCTGTTCTTGGTGGGAGGACTTCCTGGCTGCTTGGGGACCTGGCGGGCTGCCAGGCCTGCTGGTCAGCATGCACAGAGAGCCAAACAGCACAAGCAAGAAAACCCGTCACTTACCTGGGACCAAAGCTCTTGGGGGATGGGAGAGGAAGACATGGAAGAAAGCCATGAGCGTTGTGGAAAGGACTGAAAGCAGGGCATTGTGCAGACAGACCAGTGCTCGGCGGGGCACCGTGACCCGCTGCAGTATTCCAGGGAGACTGACCAGGAGAGGGTACCTGGCACAGAAGCAGCGCCTCACAAGAAAGGCACATGTTTAGTGGCTATGGCATGGCTTTGAGAAGGGAGAAAACTGCTTTGTGTTTGTTTGTTTGCTTTATATACAGGGTCTCTCTGTGTAGCTTGGACTGATGCTGATCCTTCTGTCTCAGCCTCTCCAGTGCTAGGATCACAGGAGTGTACCACTGTCCCCGGTTGGTTATCGGGGCAGGCAAGTCATGCCCGGGATTCTGGCATAGGCAGGGCATGTAATGCTGGGGATTGCACTCGTGTCCTTCTGCTTGCCAGTCAGGCACTTAGACCGATCAGCTACGTCCCCAGCCCAGGAGAGCACTGCTTGAGACCTCAGGAACATGAGCAGCCTGGCTGTGGTGAGGCAGAAGCTAACTCTCTGGGAGGGGTTGGGAAAGTGCTGGAAGGTGGAGAAGAATGAGCTGGGCAGACAGGTGGACCCACGGTTTGGCACACAAGGGTGCTTCCTTTCCTCTCAAGTGTGCCAAGACCTGAGAGGGAGGGTGCAGAGATGTCTCTAGATGGGTGGATCAGTGTGCCAGCCAGTGAGTGGGTCCTCTGTGTTTGAGCCTGAGCATCTGCCCTGTACTCTTCCCTGGGGAGCTCATAGAGGACGCTTCCTTCCCCTTCCTGAGTCACACCCCATGTACAGGAGAAGTTAGGGAAGAAACCAAATTCTACCACAAGAAACAAGTGCCAACCCTCTCATTCTGCCAGGAAGCCATGCTTGGCTTCCCAAGGAGAGGAGAAGGGCTAGAGGTGGGTTTGACAGCAGCTCAGCAGCACAGGCAGAGCTGCATGAGCTAGGTGGGCAGGAGGCAGTCTTTCTTGTGCTAATCGTACATTAGAGGTGCAGGGATGCATGACAGAGCTGCCCTTCCCCCACCAAGCAAGGACTGCCTAGACAACAGTCAAGGACACTGGCCTTCCGCCCAAGATGGCATTCTGGAGATACCTTTATCAGGGCTTCCATGCTTCAAGGCTCCAAGGGCATTATCTCCTCCATTTCTCTTCCATTTCCAGCTTCATTCTGTCAGCCTCCATGCCCCACCAACAGCCCATCACCTCTGCCCCTAGTGCCTCCTTGGAGGTTGATTCTGGACAGTGAAGCCCCTATGGTCCCAGCCTCCAGTGACCTCTGAGCTCTGATCAGCGGGCATGTGCAAGGGAGCAGAAGCCCAGGTCAGTTGGCATCTATTGTGCAATTCTGTCTTTCTCTTTGTGCGGACACACACAATGACAAGGACCCTGTGTTCGTTTTGCCCATGCAAGCACACGAGTTTATTGGCGGTACACACAGATGCAGACTTTGGGGGAGGAGGTTGAGCCAGTAGCATGGACAGAAGGAGGTGCTCTTCCAGGATGAGCAGGCTCAGCAGCAGCATCCATCAGCTGGTGTCAGAAGAAAAGGGAAAGGGAGAACGCTTGAGTCTAAGCAGTGAGTGGCAAATGCTCATCAGCAGGAGCTCCCCTCGTGGAAGCGGTCCTTATTGAGTGGTCCTGTGTACACAGGGAGAGGGCTGCAGGCAGCCATAGCACTGGTGACACTGTAATCTGATGTCCTGGAGCCACAGCTGGCAGGCTACAGTGATGTGATCCCTTTACAGCCTGAGGAAGACTGCACGGGAGTGACAGACCGTGCCCTCTGCCTGCACACTGCAAAACCAAGAAGCCACCCCGCTCCGTGGGGGCCCCTGCCCGCCCAGTGAGTGTAACCCTCCGTGTGGCACCTGGAACTTTCACCAGAGCCTGCTGACTGGGCAAGGCCAAATCTTCAGTTGCACCCAGTGCGGGGATTCTTTGCCATCTGCAGACCAACCAAAGGGGTGTGGGGAGACTCAGTCCTACTGTGCTCCACAGGGCCACCTAAGTGGAGACCATTTGCAGGAAGATCTCTCTGTTTCCACTTGTGTTTATCATGAATGGCAACAGCACTGGGGCATCAGGCAACTCCCCTGCCAAGACTGGCTTCTCAGACAAAGCCATCAGCAGTTTCAGCACGGGAACCTGAGCACGTCCACTTCCTTCGGATATCAAAGGAAATTTCAAGTCTGAAAGGGACCTGGCAAGCATGTTATTAATAACTCTCATGCTTATTAACAAATTTAATCCGGCCTGCTGCAGAAAGGAGTCGCAGCAAGGTGACACAGTCTCCTGACACACTTGACTGGCATACATCTTAATCTGGCCCTTATTTGCAACACTGTCATTCAAGCTATCTGGGGTGCACAAAGCCTTCTTCTCAGTAGTGGGGTGGGGAGTTGGGGTTGGGTCTGCAATGACTGACAGGCTGGCTAAATGTCCATTGACACCGTGGCTAAGTGAAGAAACAGCATCGTTGGGCTTAGCAAGCAAGTTTCCTGCAGTGGGTGGACATTTGGAGAGCTCAAGCATGTAACTGAGGATTTTAAAGCTTTGAGCACTCCATGTATTTTTTTGTTCATAGGGAAATGGCCGCTGTTTCGTTGTGTGTGCTCTGTTTGCCTTTCCTCCCCCTGAGTGCCTGTCCTCTGTGCCACTTGGTGCCCCAGGTTCAGTCCAATCCCCATCCTCATTCCAGGGTCGAGCCATAGTTGTGAAGTCGAACCAAATCGTGTGCTCCTCCTCATCCAGCTCCTGGTCCTCCCCCCATTCGTCTTCCTCTTCCTCAGCTGTGTCATTGTCATCCTTCCCTAGGGTCAGCTTGTAAACACAGTAGCAAGCACCAGCCCCAATCATCAGGCCTGCTGCCATCCAACCCACTTCCCGGGCCCGGCCCATGCTTATGTCTGTGCCACTCTCGGGGTAGGCTGGGAGAGTGCCTTGCTCCACCTGATTGAAGAGGTCTCCTAGTGCGAGAATGGAGCATGCAGGAAGCAATCTTCTGTCTTTTCTAGATTTCTGTAGTTCTGTGAATGAATCTGTGGGTGTAAAAGAGTATTAGGGAGATTGGTTATGATAAAGGTTTATGCCTTACCAGGCCGAACGAAGTTTGAGTGCTGGTTAAAAGAATTTGGAGTTAATAGGAAATTTCTTTCTGGTTTTCTTGTGCCTCTCTTATCTACTCTCAGAATCAGTCCTTCCTCTTTCAAGACCCTCAGAGAAGAGGAAGATAGGGCTGTGCTCTATATGATAATGAGACTTGTGACACATTTAACCTTCAAGTCCCCTCAAGTGGATTTTTTCCTTCACTATACATATCTCCACCCTCCAAAATTCACATAGTTTCTCCAACTGGCCTTTAACAAATCCAGGTGAATTTCTTTTCCCATTGTTTCTGTTGTCACTGTTCTACACTGAGGAATGACAGTCTGGTAGGCGAAGATACAGACAAGTAGGTGGCTATGGAAAATTGAAAGTGTAGTGCCTGGATCCTCACTGAGCACCCAGGTTTCCAAGTCCACTTTTCCCAATTTTAGGCCTTTGGGTTTAAAGTATTTTTTACACCATCTATACTCTCTAAGCAGGGCTTCCCCCACCCCCTTCATCCGCCATTTTCCAAAAAATGCTGCCACACCCCTTTCCCTGCACCGAAATGGGAGGGGGTGTGGAGTAAGAAGGGGCTGAACAGGGCGTGGGTGGCAGGGACTTGTCCTGCTCAGATCCCAGCTCCCCCCTGTGCTACCCATGCCCAAGTTTCTCGGCTCATCCCACCTTCACATGGCCCTCCAGGGTTCCCAGCAAAGCAGTTTGCTTCTCTCGCCAAGATCTGCGCTGCGATCTATAGATCTGCAACAGACAGGAGACCAAGGAGAGGGAGTGCTTGGTGCACTGAGAGGCACCCAGGGCACGGTGCCTGGGTTGTGGAGCCTTGCTTTCCTTGGGTTCTTAGTAACCGCCATTCACTCTCCTCACCCCCACCTGAAGCTTGCCACTCCTTTCCAGTGAAATGAAGGAGTGGAGTGGGAGTGGGGGTGGGGGTGGAAGTAGCGGTGGGGGAAGGTATTTAAAAAGTCAAAGAGAGAGGAATCTAGCCCGTCTGCCTAAACTTGGACCCGAAGCGCTCTGACTCTCTCCCACCCTCACTTCTTTCAAAGCAGCGCCTACCCTCGCACCGACCTGCGTGATCCGAGCTAGTGTTCCTCTTCCTTCACATGCCTGCAGAGTAATAAGGGGCTGGTACCCAGACAGAGGCGATTAGCACGACTTCTACTCCAGGAGACTCTGGATCACGTGACACTCACGTCATCGGTCAGCTCTGCCCCCCCTCCAGTTTCCACTCCCAGAAGCAGTGCGGCAGGCGCCAGCCTGCTCTCTACCTCCCCCACTTTCACTGCGTCCTGTCAGTCTTTTCCTCTGTAGGAACACCAGAATCCAGAAGTGACCATAGCTCACTGGTGTTGAGTTTGACTTTCTGTAATTACAGGAAGGGATGCATCTTTTCCTGGGTCTACCGTGCACTAAACTTCTCAGGGAATTGTTTCATCCTTTCTCTAGCTTTAAAACTCTTGCATCTTCTTCCGTAATTTGTACTCGATTTTCATTTCAGTCTCTGCACAAAATTTGGGGGATGGAGAGTAAAAAAGGAAGCTTGGAGAACAGTGAGATTGTTACGAATATTTTTGATACATTTAAGTTCTGTTTCATTCCAACTTTTTAATAATTCAAATTACATAGCCTTATTTTGCAAACATAAATTACAATAAAACTATTTCCACTTATAAAAAAAGGAATTGTCAATTTTATTTTTAAAATGTACCATAAGCAACATCTTCCAATTAACAGGAAAAGTCTCACCAGGTTAACAAAGTTAATTTGTCCTACATTGAAAATATTTGTCTAAATAAAAGCTTTAAAAGAGCATATTAAAGTTTAAATATATCTTTACAAACAAAACCAATCAATTCTCAATATGATTTATAAATTGGTGGATAAACGAGTCTGCACAAGAAGGTCAGTTTTCTAATGGTTATAGATGAACAAAAATCCACTGTCCCTTTTTTCTTCCTGGCTGAACACATACTATTAACATTACACAACTGAGATTTTTGTGGAAGGCTGCTGGATGGCTTTCACTGTGGCTTCCAAGGAAGGGCTTCTTGGAGACCTTATCTTCAGATGAATCTTACAACTTCAGATGAACTTTACAAGTTACTAACTTCACATGTTAGCCTGCCTTTGTTTTCAGGGATTTATTTTAAAATGTATTCTCAAGTTTCATGATGCGGTCTATAAACTATCTAGAAATTAGTGAATTCTCTGTTAGTAGAGGGAATTTTTTAATCCAACGTGGAACTCGTGAGATCTCTTTAGTATCTGCCATTCCTGTGTTATCAGTTACCATAGCAATGACCAGTGTTCACATTCTCGAGTGGCAATGGCAGTGAGGGTCTGTGGATCCTGTGGATTGTTGCAACACCCTGGGACGCCCTTACCATTTTCCTCTCACAAAAGGGAGGAAAAGGTATAGGGTTTCAAGAAGTCATCAGAAGGAAGAAGAATTACACTCTCTGATTTCTCTTATGCACACAAAGTTTCTCAAAATAATTAATCCCAGAACTCAGGGATAAGTATGCGGAGGTTAGCCCCCAGACACCCACTTGTCCTGGCCTGGGGCAAATACTCTAAATAGAGATGGAGAGTCATACTCTAAATATAAACTGTTCGGGCAGCCTCTTTCTTAGAATGTTGAAATATGACACCTACGCAGGCTGGAGGCCCTCCAGCCTGGGGCCCCTGTGGAGGAGGCCCTCACTGGAGGACAGCCAGAGAGTCCTTAATGTCTGGATGGCAAATATTAAAGTCAAGAACATGTTGCAACTTTCTGGCTTTCCCAAACTTTTCTAGTCCAAGCTCATGTACTAATATACTCCATCTTTCCAAGCTTCTTCTACATTTGTTTTTCCCATATCCCCCTTTACTCTTCTTTTCATGACACTTCCTTCTCTCAGCTAAAAGCAATTTATTTATGATGGCTTACTGAGAGAACACTTAGGTTCAACTGCTAATCATTCAGTTTTTGATACCTGGTACTTATATAAGTGACCTTTTTATTTTGAACATACACGCTAGAAAGAATTGTGGAATATGTAAAGTTCAGCAAGGACAAATGCCTTGGTGTTCCACACAGAATTCTTCAATATGGACTAACTTTTGGAAAATTTAACCAAGCTTCAAAGACAAAATATTCATTCCTGCCTCTCTTTACCAGAGTACAATATTTGCCCCTTTCACATTCCCTACAATTATCTAGTTTATAATTCAGGCCCATTCTCCCACTCATACCTCCTGACTAAAGTCCATTCTACCTAAATATGTCCTGACAACCTTTTCAGTGATTTTACCCCTTTTTACTCTGCTCCCCCAATTCTTATGAAGGAACTTGGAGACTAACATTTAAAAACTACTGTGCTGTACCTTATATACTTATCAACAAATCTGTATTTAAAGGTATGTTACACTCTTGCCATACCATCTGAAAAAGGAAAATGCTTCAATAAGTCCTCAGACAAGCCTATTCAACGGACTGTGAAGCCACTGCTAAATGAACCCTTTGCCTTAAATCGGTCTGTGACACATGTTATTTGTGGCTTACAAAGCAGCTGAAAATAATGGATAGTAACAATGCAATTGTGAAGAGTGAGAAATATAAATTATAGAAGGTTGTTATCTTGAAAAATTAAATTACACTTTGTATTGTGCTATTTGTTTTTGTGAAGTTTTCAGATTGCAAGCAACAGAACCAAACCTGGATGACAGGAGGGAATGCTGAAGATCATGCTCAACTGTCCCACTAGATGGAACTGGAAGAATCTAGTCAGGGTACCCTAAGGCTACTAATGGTCAGGCAGTTGCTGTGCCACTGAGCTATCTCCTCAGCCTGGTGGTCAGGTTTTATCTTTCTGCTCCAGATTCATATTTTAGTGAGAGAAACTTTGCTTGGTCTGTTTTGGGCAGTAGCCATCCTTTTATTTTTAATAAGAAACACAGGTATAGAAAATATAAAATGTACTTTCTTTTCCCAGAAAGATGTAAATGGTTTCATAAATTATAGGTTAGTAGATGCTCTTTAACTCTTTTGGGCACTATCTTTGTCTAGCTGTGACTGACATGATCAGAGCATATGGGCTATAGCACATCGTAGTTGCATTTTCCATATTAATTATTAGAAAAAGATGTGAAAAAGCAATGCATAATGTTGTCCTCTGAGTAAAAAACCACCATAATTCCCCCATAGAATACCACAGACTTGCATCTACTGTGCATTTTTTTTCTGCAGTGTTGCATGATCTAGCCCTAATTTTTAAAAAATTCATACATGTTTGTAGTATACAATGATTATATTCTTCATGGGAATTTGGTACATGTCCCTAACACATTTTGATCATTTTGCCTCCCCTCCCTTTCCCCCTCTGACCTACCCCTTATGTTTTTTCTATACAACAAGAGCAGATGTTCTTAAGATATCATTATAGAGACATGTAAAAGTGGAACAGAATACTCAAACACACATGTGTCTACATTCTTTCCTGGTTAGCTCACAAGAGAAGTTAAGTTTCAACATACATTTATTTCAGTATCAGAATAATTTACCCTGAAAAATACAACCATTAGGAATACTAGAGGTTTCCAGCACTCTTACCTGCCCATTTTCTTCCTATAAACAAGCTAGCACCTAGCAAGTGACAACCTCAGGAAGGTGTGTCTTGAACCTGCAATCAGAGCAAGGGCATTCATTCACCTTCAAAAGTGGCCTTTAGTTGCAGAAGCTTAAAGAATTCTCTGCCATAATTGAGGGTGATTTTGCTGAGGAAAGCTAAAATGTTCCATTCCTTTTAGCCAATATCTTCCTTTCCTCCAGACACAGCATGGATGGGAACTACCAAGACTTTTCCCCCTGACTCTTCTAAATATGGAATCAAAAGTTTTTTGGCTTTTGTTTGCTAAATTTCAGTCATGTTCCAGTAATGTCTCCCAGAACTTAAATCCATATGAATTTTCTTGAAGTTTGTCTCTTCCCTAGCTCCTCTGTCTCTGAATTTACTTCAATATTTTCTGTGGATTTAAAAATTTGTATTCAGATAACAACTTTAGATCCAAACTATTAGGAAATAATTAACGAAATGATCCTATGTTCTGAAAAGTTATAGGATTTTTCATTTTGTTATTTGTTGTTTTTGTTATTTGTTTTTTGTACTGTACATTAGTTAATGTTCTTTGATTTTTTTAAACTCCTGAAACTGATTAACTTAAATAATGATAATTACTTCTTGTCTTATTGTGAAAAAGTTAAATCCCCAGTGAATTATTGAGCTTATTAAATCAGTGAAATGATTTCACACTAATAGCTAGATACCAAGTTTAGGCAACTTTGTATTGGTCTCTGTGTTCCTTTAATACCTACTTCATTTATATCTGTTCTGTATTTGTATTGGTCTTTCATAATATTCTCTGTCTATCATTGACTTAGTCAGTGCGCGTACTTTTTATTTCACAGATGCCAACTACAAAGATGTAATTTCTATTCAATCTTTTGTTGCTGGCTCCTGAGGTTTGATTTCCTGCTCCTTGCTAAGTTACACAGGTGAAAGTCTGCCCCTTTCTGACCTAGTCCAAAGATTTACATATTCTCAGACACACTGATCACCTGTTTCAGATTTTGTTATGGGCTAGGCCCTGAAAGATACTAAGATTGCTTTGCATGAAGTAGTCAACACTATACTAAGTGAGAAATGTGGGAGTTTTAGAAGCTATCATTCAACATGCTCTCCCACCTCCACTCTTTCTTATTCTGAAATTAAAATAGCTTTATTATATTTTTGCTCATAAAAAGAATGCAGGCTAGATGTGAGGAAGGTGGGGCAAAAATGACAAGAAATGTATTAGTAAAGTAAAAAGCACACAATCACTTCAGGTTTTCCTTTCTGACCCCTTGTTCATTTCAGATCTAGGACTGGATTTCAGAGGAAATGTTAGACATTAAGAACTGGAGGAGGAGAGGTGTAAGGAGAGGCTGATGTCCCAGGAGTTCAGGAAAGGAAAAGTCAGTTTTTCAAAAAAAGTGCAAGTGGCCAGTAGCCCCAGGGGAAGATGCTATCCCTTTCTGGTAATCCGAGGAAGGGAAACACAACTACAAAGAGATGGGCTTTGCGATGAAGAATGAATAACAAGGCCCAGTATGGGGAAGGCAAAGGAGTGGGGCGGGCCCTCTTCTGCCGCACTGCTAGTGGGAGGGGAAATTGGGGACCCGAGTTGGTGGATGACGTAGATCTCACGTGACCAAGAGCTGACGTGTGCAGAAGTCCTTCTTGTCCTGGTCGTTGTTCCCATCTGAGTACCAGCTCCAAATTGCCAGGAGGGTGGGTGGGCTTGTCGCAGAGGAAAGAAGGAGGAGGAGAAGGAAATTGTCCCGGATCCCTGCAGGTCAGTGCCTGGGAGATTCCACAAAGTGGGGGTGGCGGAGGGTGTAGGGCGGAGACCGTCGCGGGTCCCGAGGCGCCTCTGTCGACTCTTCCACTCGCTGTCCGCTTTCCAAGATATTCGTCCCGCCTGCAGCCCGTTACAGTGCTGCGAAACGGTGAGCAGGGAGGTGTTTGGAGGGGAGTCCAGAAATACAGAGATAGAAACCTTCTGGGAGCCAAGGCCCTGAGTCTGGAAAGGGAGATGTGGCCTGGCTGTTGTCTCCCAGTCTACCAGGGCACTCCTGGCAGGGAAAGGCTGCACACGGGGGCGGAGATGGTGGGGTGCAATGCGATGTGTTAACAGAACCCCAGAGGGTGACAGGAGTGGGAAATCTTTGACAAACAAGGCCTCCGAATTAGGAAAGTTTCGTTCTCTTGGGATTGGTCCGTCCACCAAGCACTCAGCAGTGTATCGCCTGTTTTTCGTCTTTCTGACCATGGCTCTGTGGCTGGGGGGTCCAACCCTCTCCCGGGTGGCCAGTCTTTCTGTAGGGTGCAGCAAAACGCCAGGCAAGAGAAGAGGAAGGAAATTAACCCTTATCAGCGAAGGCTGAGGGTAAGACCATGTGGGGACCCTAGAGAGGAGTGTGTGAAGGTGGGTGAAAACTAGAGAAGGTAATCCAAGTTCAGGTCTGAGTCCGTGTTTCTTACACTTCTCGGACGGTGACGAAATGGCGTGCACAGTGTGTGTGTGTGTGTGTGTGTGTGCGCGCGTGTGTGCCTTGCGCGTGAGCGCGCGCAGGAGGGGGTAGGGGGAAATGACAGCAGGGAAGCCTATCAGGTAGTTTGTTCATAATCCTCCTCTCAACAACACTTAGTCCCCATGTTTTCGATCTGTCATCCTGCAGGTCTGCTGTGGCAGGTGGCACTGTTAGAAGCGAGGGAGGAAGTTTCCCAGGATCTTTGGAGGTCAGTGTGGGCGTGGGGGCTGCCTGGCATGGGGGAGGGGCTGGAAATCAGCGGCGGTTTGCAAAGACTCGTGGGATCCTACTTTATGTTCTTGGATCCCTCTATTTCAGACTAGGGTATGTACATATTTTAGACGGCATAGTGATGCTAAAAAAAGAAAAAAAAATCTGACAACCTGGACAGTGATTCAGGAAAGCAACAAATGCATAATCTATCAAGACTTTAGTTCTCACCGACTCTGGTTTTTCTGCAGATCAGAAAGATCGTTGGGCGTGGCACATCTCCAGGGAAGGGAAGAAGGGGCAAAGTGCCTGTGTCAAGGAGGTTAGTGCGAAGGTGGTACTCCCTAGAGACTCCAGAGTTTGTGAGGACGGAGGTTTCTGCAGAACCTGTAGACTCCATTGCTTTTCTGCTTGGGGTAGAGGTGGGATGGGGGGTAGGGAGAGGGTGAAGTGAGGGGAATATTTTGTCAGCAACCTATATCTTAGGCAGGATTCAATTATTATTTTTTTGTCCCTCTGAGGACCCCTGCATAGCCCAACACAAAGAGAAGAGACATTCAAACCATATTTCCTTCCTCCAATTCTAGGTCCACCTCCAGAATCAGCTCTTGTGACGGAGAAGTGACAGAAGATCAGCTTCTCTAGCCCTGCACCCAGGCTCACAGCCCTCTTCCCCCATCCCGAGTGACTACTTAATTCCTTGGTCCCTGCTCTTGTCAGGGACGATTGCATGGGCTACGCCAGGAAAGTAGGCTGGGTGACCGCAGGCCTAGTGATCGGGGCTGGTGCCTGCTATTGTATTTATAGACTGACTCGAGGAAGAAAACAGAACAAGGAAAAAATGGCTGAGGGTGGCTCCAGGGATGTGGATGAGGCTGGGGCCAGATATAACGACTGGTCTGACGATGATGACGACAGTAATGATAGCAAGAGTGTAGTATGGTACCCACCTTGGGCCCGGATCGGAACGGAGGCAGGCACCAGAGCTAGAGCCAGGGCAAGGGCCAGGGCTACCCGGGCACGTCGGGCTGTCCAGAAACGGGCTTCCCCCCATTCAGATGATACTGTTTTGTCCCCTCAAGAACTACAAAAAATTCTTTGTTTGGTTGAGATGTCCGAAAAGCCTTATATTCTTGAAGCAGCTTTAATTGCTCTGGGTAACAATGCTGCTTACGCATTTAACAGAGATATTATTCGTGATCTGGGTGGTCTCCCAATTGTTGCAAAGATTCTCAATACCCGGGATCCCATTGTCAAGGAAAAGGCTTTAATTGTCCTAAATAACCTGAGCGTGAATGCTGAAAATCAGCGCAGGCTTAAGATATACATGAATCAAGTGTGTGATGACACAATCACTTCTCGCTTGAACTCATCTGTGCAGCTGGCTGGCCTAAGATTGCTTACAAATATGACTGTTACTAATGAGTATCAGCACATGCTTGCTAATTCCATTTCAGACTTTTTCCGTTTATTTTCAGCTGGAAATGAAGAAACTAAGCTTCAGGTTTTGAAACTGCTTTTGAATTTGGCTGAAAATCCAGCTATGAGTAGAGAACTGCTCAGGGCCCAAGTACCATCTTCTCTGGGTTCCCTGTTTAATAAGAAGGAGAACAAAGAGGTTATTCTTAAACTTCTGGTTGTTTTTGAGAATCTGAATGATAATTTCAGATGGGAAGAAAATGAAGCTACTCAGAATCAGTTTGGTGAAGGTTCACTCTTTTTCTTTTTAAAAGAATTTCAAGTGTGTGCTGATAAGGTTCTGGGAATAGAAAGTCACCATGATTTTTTGGTGAAAGTAAAAGTTGGAAAATTCATGGCTAAACTGGCTGAGCATATGTTCCCAAAGATTCAGGAATGACTTCCTGACTTTGTAGTTTAGAAACAACATACGTTATAAACTATTCCTTTTCTCAACCTTGTTTATATGGTGGAGGAATCCTTTTAGCTTCCAATTTTGAGTAATAAATGTTATATTGTATTATCCATGCTGATATTTAACCAGGTTGATTTTTTGGTTTAAGCTGGATGAATATCATTACTTGTTCTGAAAACATGTTTTTTTGCTTTTTATCTTGCTGCTTAGATTGAAATATTCTTACTATTTCTTCTGCATAAGTGACAGTGAACCAATTAGCCCTAAGTAAACTCTGTCATTTGCATTGATTTCATTTATGTATCATCAATAAAGCTGTGTGTTAATGCTGGAAAGAAAAAAAAAGAAAGAAGAAAGAAATCATCCTTGTGCTTTGGTTTATAATCTAGTTGGAGAGATAAGGGACATACAAACCAAAGGATACCCAATAATATCTGGAACGTATACTCACTGTCAGATGTGTCCTCTCAGGGTACAGAGGAGGCCAAGGTCTATGTGGGATAGGAAAGTTAGCTGAAGCTTCATGGAGAAAAGTCATAGAAAGTTAACCTGGAATGGAGTAAGGTGGTTAAGGCAGGCCCCAAGAAGGGGAAACACTGTAAGAGAGCTATTGAGGCATGAATCTTCTTCCCATGACAGAAGAACAGTCTGTATAGAGTGGAGAGTGTGGGGAATGGGAGTAAGAAAATTTCGAATCCTGGGTGAAGCCAGTAGTAGAAAGATATTCGGATACTATCTTATTGAGCACTCAGATACATTAAATATTTTTCACTGGAAAATAGGCTCCTTAGAAATGACCTGCTTAATCCCTGAAGCACAGTGTCAATTAGGGAGTGAAGAAATGGCCCTCTGAAACCCTGATGGTAGCCACTTGGTCATATAGATCTTAAGTCTTCAAATATTTAAACGTGGTATCCTAAGACAGTAACTAAATACTTGGTGTAAGTTTGTATGTACAAAGCTATTTGCCTCACAATTATGATACCAAAAATTAGGAACAACTACAGTGTCTATCATACTGGATTATATAAATAAATTAAGGAATGCTCATACAGTAAGATATGATATATATGCTGATGGAAATCTATTATGCTAGGAAAGTATCTTCATGCATTAAGAAAAAGGTAAGTTGATATAGTAGTATTTATAATACAATTCCATTTTGGGGGTAGGAAATCATATTATAAAGACCTAAAATCTCTGGAGTTATGTACATAGTGACAATACTTACCTTTGGATAGAGGGATAATTTGTGAACTTTACTTATTTACTTTTTATTCATCTTAGTTCTTTTTTATCTAAAATGCATGTTGAGTTTTAGGAAACTTTTGAAAAACAAAAGTTTTGGGAATGAAGCAGTTGACTGGTTCAAAATGGCACTGAGTGGAAAAATTAGATTAAAGTGAGATGGATTGAACTGGTTAAGGTGAAGCTTATGAGGATTAAATGAGATAACATATACCAAGCGCTTACAATATTCTAGCACATAGCAGTTAAGGGAGAACACTTAAGTTATCAGAATCTTGGGTTAACAGATTTTTTGGTTACCTTTGCTCTCCAGAGCATTCTGCCATGTTTCAGTGTCATTTAATAAGTGACACTATAGTAACAATAAAATTAACATTTAAGTGATTACTGTGTAGTTCTGTTATTCTTGTAATGCAACTGCTAAAATAATTTCTTTTCCTTCCTTCCTTCCTTCCTTCCTTCCTTCCTTCCTTCCTTCCTTCCTTCCTTCCTTCTTTCTTTCTCTCTCTCTCTCTCTCTCTCTCTCTCTCTCTCTCTCTCTCTCTCTTTTTTTTTTGGAACTGGGGATTGAACTCAGGCCCTTGCGCTTGCCAGGGAAGCACTTATTCTATTGAGCTATCTCCCTGGCCCTAAAATAATTTCTTAAAGTAATAAACTTTTCTCTCATCTAATAATAGAAGCCAGGAAACAAGTTGGTTTGTGGAGCTAACTGCATATATATATATATATATATATGTTTATTATATATATATATATCTTGTTATACTGTATATTGTTACCTTCAAAGCAGTTGTTCAGATTACTAGATATGTGCATGTTAAATTGGTCAAAAATTTCAAAAATTAAGTACTAACTGTTCCTTTCAATAAACCAATAGAAATTAATAGTACAATTATCTTAGCCTTTGGATCAGTTTCTTTCCTTTTTCCACTGTACATTGTACTTCTTCGATTTTGTTTATTCTTCCAGGTTCTTACACTAGGGAGATAATATATTTACATATACAGGTCTGATTTAGTTCACTTATGAGTATGGTATCTAGTTGTATCAATTTACCTATGAAAGCATCAAATTTATCTTTTTTATAGTTGAGTAATAGTCCATTGTATAAAAATACTACATCTTTTTTTGTGTTTGTGTTTGTGGTGCCAGGGATCTAACTTGGGCTCTTGCACTTGCCATGCAGGTGCTTATACTGCTGAGCTATAACCCCCTGCCCCTGCCACAGCTTTTTTATCCATTCCTCATTTGATGGGAATTTGTATTGTTTCCAAGATTTAGCTCTGACAGATTATGCTGCTAGAAACATGGGTGCACATGTGTCACTGTGGCATTATGTTTTCAGTTGTGGAAAAATATCTAGAAGGGTAATAGCTGGATCGAATGGTATGTCAAATCTTAGTTTTCTGAGGAATTGCTTCACTGACTTCCACAATGCTTGCACTACTGTACACTCCCACCAGCAGTTGCAAAAGATTCCTTTTCCCCCACAGCCCCTTCAGCCTTTGCTATTCGTTGGTTTCTTGACGATAGCCATAGTTTCTGGGGTTAGATGGGGCATCAATATTAGTATTGTTTTAATTTGCACCTCTTGAATGACCAGTGATGTTGAACTTTTCTTTTTCTCTTCTTCTTCTTCTTCTTCTTCTTCTTCTTCTTCTTCTTCTTCTTCTTCTTCTTCTTCTTCTTCTTCTTCTTCTTCTTCTTCTTCTTCTTCTTC